AAGTGTAGCCCTGTGATAGACTGGTTACCTGTCCAGGTGAACCTGCCTTCACCCTGAGTCAGCTGGGATAGGCTCCGCCCCCCATGACCCTGGTGAGGATGAAGGTGTAGAGATGATGGATGTATGTTCTAGTAGCTGAGCCAGGCCTCTAACATACGAGGACTGGTTCAGTTTGATGACGAGTGTTTGGTATCATCATATGTAACAGGCCCGTAGATGGAGTCTGTTTTCAAGATTAAATCATCATCAAATCAGGAGAAAAGACTGAGACAGACAACAAGTCATGTTTTCTTTCCAATCTGAAAACGGGGCTTCTCAGCACACTAAACCACTTTATAGGAAGGTTGAGCCCCCTAGTGGTGTATTTCGGGGACTACATCCAAAACCAGCTATATACAAAAACTAAAACTAAAAATACTCCCATTCACAGACTTTTGCATAAAATTCAACACACTGTCACCAAAATAAATTACAAACAATGTGATCACACATTTCTGTCACACACACACTCTGGTGAAGTTTTGTTGTGTTCAGTCTCTTAGTGTGGATGATAGGTCGTCTTCAAGGTAAACCCTGGAAAGTCAGGTAACAGGTGAAGCAGCTGAACTTATTTCTCAGCTCATCCACTGACTCATTATTTAATCAGTTTGCCTTTTTGATGATCCTTATGCGATCCTGGATGAGGGTGTTCTGTATTCACTGTCCCCCCAATGAATCGCCCCCCTATCATGGTGTAGGGGTTTGAGTGTCCCTGTGATCCTGGGAGCCATGTTGTCTGGGGGGCATTAGCCCCTGGTAGGGTCTTCCAAGGCAAACTGGTCCTGGGGGACGGACCAGAAAAATGAACCTGGATGAAACCTCAAAACAGGAAAGCGCCTCATCCCCCGGGTCAGAGGAACCGAGGCCTCCTCCTGGAGAAAGGCCTGGGGAGCTCATCAGAGAGGGTCTACCGCCCCTGGAGGCGTAGACTAGATGTGGAACATCACTTCACCGGCAGGGAAGGAACCCGAGCTGGTGCAGGAGGTGGAACGTTACTGACTAGATACAGTCGGGCTCACCTCCACGCACAGCAAGGGTTCTGGAACCAAACTCCTGGAGAGGGCTTGGACTTGGTCCTTTTCCGGAGCTGCCCAGCTGGCCGCTGCCCTGTTGGAGTTCTCCCCAGAGAACGAGAGGGTCGCTTTCTACAACTGCATGTTGTGGAGGATGCTTATGCACCGAACAGACGCTCAGAGTATCTGGTCTTCTCAGAGTCTCTGGGTGGTGTCCTGGAAGGGGTGCCGCCTGGGGACTCCATAGTTCTCCTGGTGGACTTCAACGCTCACGTGAGCAATGATGGAGAAGCCTGGAGGGGAGTGACTGATCTGAACCAGGGTGGTGTTCTGTTATAGAACGTCTGTGCTAGCCATGGATTGGCCATAACAAACACCATGTTCAAGCATAAGGTTGCTCATAAGTGTACCTGGTACCAGATCATCTTCGGTCATGATGATCGACTTTGTAGTCGTATCATCAGATCTGTAGCTGTATGTTTTGGACTCTCAGGTGAAGAGAGGAGCAGAGCTGATCACCACCTGGTGGTGAGTTGGATCCGATGGTGATGAAGACCTGGTAAACCCAAACATGTATTGAGGGTGAACTATGAATGTCTGGTGGAAGCTCCTGTCTGTGGGGTTTTCAACTCCCTCCTCTGGAAGAGTTTCTCCTGCATCCTGGGGGAGGTTGGGGACATGGAGTCGGAGTGGTCCATGTTCAAAGCCTCCATTGCAGAAGCAGCCGTTAGGAGCTGTGGCCAGAAGGTCACTGGTGCCTGTCGTGGCGGCAAAACCTGCTGGTGGACACTGGGGGTGGGGGAAGCCATAAATTCATTCTGGTTTTCCCGGTTCTGTTTCCCTCCCCTCTGTTTAGCCTCTCACGGTTTTGGTTCCTGTTGAATCTATCATTTAATAAACTCCTAGTTAAATTCACCTGTCTGCCTCTATCTGTGTCCTCACCTGGGTTCCCAGATTCTCTCCTATTACATATTCATGTTGCTTGTGTTCCTCTGATTTGCTGCCGTCTCTCCTCATCCTTCCTGTTTGTTGGACTTGTTGCTAATTTAATCAGACACCTGTGCAGACGCTCACCTGCCTCTGATCAACCCTCTACTCAGTAGAACTCTGTTCAGACAGTCCCAGGTCTTGGCTGGTTCCTGTCTTGTCCTCCACTCGTCTTCCTGGAACCACTTTGAATGCTCGCTGCCTGTTTCTGCTGGACTCCTTCGGTCAGAACAAGCCTCCTGGACCATCAGCC